CACTTATTTCGGATTTTATGATCGTTTTGGTTATTCTAAACTTTGACCCTTTGTGAGTGAGGTACCAGAAGAAATTGCCCGATCTCTAGCATCTTTATAACAGATCTTGTGTTGATGGAAGTATTGAGTTGTGCCAAGTCTGAATGGAATCGGATGTAAATTTCACACTTTAAGAGCTTTATGGATATTCAAATTTTTGACCCTTAATGGGGGGAACGTACCAGAAGGAGTGGACCGATGTTGCCCATCTCCGAACTCGATTTAAGTTTGATAATAATACTACGATGTACCAAGTTTGGGCCAAATCGGATACTCCCTTCGTGAGTTATCGTCAGACAGTCAGATGGAGGAACGGACGAATATCGCTAGATCGACTCCAATTGTCCTGAAACGGTTTTGGTCCAAAGAGACCTAGGTCGTAAAACTGTTATTTCGACGAAGCACATTTTGGCCGTATCAATTGATATATACCCTCTCTAGCCATATGGCTGAGGGTGTGAAATGGTGGACCCTTAGTTTCTACCTTTCAAAATTCAAGCTGAGATGAAAATGTGCACCATCGGCCACCAGAATTCAAGCGCCGCCTATGGTGATGGTGTGGTCCGCCATAACAGCCGATGGTCTCTCTCCGCTCGTCTTAATCAAACTGGCATCAGAATAAATGCCGAATATTATTGCGAAAATATTCTGGAGGGTGTATTAAAGCCTTGGGTACACAAAAATTTTGGCCGCAGACCAAAGCACCAGCACCACCCAAGAATGGTTACAAAATGAGGTTCCTCGCTTCATTTCCAGCGCACAATGGCCACCAAAACCTTCGGTTACCAATCCGTTGTCTGGAGTACTTTGGAAAGCAAGGTTGCCACTAAAAAATACCAAAGTGTCCATCACCTCAAGCAAGTGCTTCACCGAAATGGACCAAAATACCGCAGAGCAACATGAGGGCAGCGTGTGACGGTTTCATTGGCCATAATTCGTGCCAAAGGTGACCAATTCGAACAAATCTAAACTTATTCTAAAATGTGATGCTATTTCCGACATTTTTTGCTTTCATTCAATAAAATTTATAAAAAATGTAAAAATTTTGGCGCTTTACTTTGTTGCAGTTTTTTTATCTCACCCTGTATAGGGTATATAGTAATCTAGTGAAATAACATTAGGGGACCCAAAAAGTTTTATATTTACGTATGGGTGTGTACATATACCCCCAGTGGTAGTGCAATATATTTTAAAGTTAATTGCCGTCCGTTTTAATCGCTTTTAACTCAGTCTAACATTCCAGAATGCCACAGATTTTTTTCGTTGTTTGTTGTTTGAATACTTTATGGCGAATTAACATGTGTTTTTCTGTGTGTGAATGTGTATGCATGCACGTTCATGTGCTGTGCTGTTTTTTTTTTGCTTTTTTGTTGTGGCATTTTTATTCGCGTAATTTGTTTTATTTTGTCATTTTTAACTTGAATTTTGTTATCTTTCCGAAATTTGTGTTAATTATTATTATCTCTGCCAACAGCGATTTTGTTGTATTCCACATATAATTGTTGTTGTCGGTGGTGTTGTTGCGGCCTTTTTCGCTTCGCTTTCATTTCATTAATTTTTTCCTGGAACTTATCAGCTGTTCACTGTTACAGCGTCAAAACCAATGACAGACGGCCGTTGTGAGTGACTGCTGCTGACGGCCGCCTTGTGTGGTGCGGCATTAGAAATTATTGGTATTTGTTGACATTCATGAGTTTGCAGTTTTTTCCGCTTGTCTTGTCTGTCTTGTTGGTGTTGTTATTGTTGTTGCGATGATAATACGGCAGCAATGGACAAATTATTGTACAAATTTTGTGGGGTTTTTATGGAAATGGTTCAAGTGTTTTTTGTTCAAAAGTAAATGAAGTAGATCAGGCTTTTTTGTATTGAAGTGCCCTTAGGCTTCTGGCCATGTATTATAAAGGGTGAGATAAAAAAAAAAACTGCAACAAAGTCAAACGCCATAATTTTTACAATTTTTTTTTTAAATTTTATTGAATGAAAGCAAAAAATGTCGAAAATAGCATCAAATTTTAGAATACGTTTAGATTTGTTCGAATTCGTCACCGTTCCCATTCCAAAGGTGACCATTTCAAAAAAATCTAACCCCTCCCCCTTTTTCCGATATCTTGAGAATTTTAGGGACATTATTCAATGGAGTTGTTCCAAATTTCGTACCGAAAATTTGTAATGGGTACTACAACCTATGACAGAAAATTGTATGTGCAGGTACACGTCTTCTCCTGGCCCCTATATAACAGAACCTACCGATATTCGGAATTTTTATGATTTTAGCGACATTAATTACCGGAGTTGTTTAAAATTTGGTATTTAAAGTTCGTAAAGGATACTGCAGCCCATGACAGAAAATTGTCTGTGCAGGTCCACGGCTTCTTATAGCCCACATATAACACCACCTTCCGATATTCGGTATTTTGATGATTTCAGCGACATTGTTCATCGGAATTGTTTCAAATTTGGTATTTGAAGTTCGTAATGGATACTGCAGCCCATGACAGAAAATTGTCTATGCAGGTCCTCGACTTCGTATAGCCCCCATATAACGGTATCTTCCGATATTCGGTATTTTGATGATTTCAGCGACATTATTTACCGGAATTATTTCAAATTTCATATTTGAAGTTCGTAATGGATACTACAAACTATGACAGAAAACTGTCTGTGCAGGTCCACGTCTTCGCATAGCCTCCATATAACAGCACCTCCCGATATTCGGAATTTTGATGATTGTAGCGACATTAATTACCGGAGTTGTTTAAAATTGTGTATTTAAAGTTCGTAAAGGATACTGCAGCCCATGACAGAAAACTGTCTGTGCAGGTCCAAGACTTCGTATAGCCCCCATGTAGCGGCACCTCCCGATATTCGGTACTTTGATGATTTCAGCGACATTATTCACCGGAATCGTTTCAAATTCAAAATCGTATTGGAAGATCGTAATGGGTACTACAACCTATGGCAAAAAAAATCGTATGTTCCTCCACGTCTTCGTATAGCCCCCATATAACAGCACCTCCTGATATTCGGTATTTTGATGATTTCAGCGACATTATTTACCGGAATCGTTTCAAATTTGGTATTTGAAATTCGTAGTGGATACTACAGCCTAAGACAGAAAATTGTCTGTAAAAGTTCACGTCTTCGTATAGTCCCCATATTTGGATATAGGTCCCATAGATATCTTCAATCGATTTCGGGTTTCTTGTGCACTAAATGACCAATATCAGTCCAAAAGTCCTGAATTTTGGTACATCCGAACCAATTCAGTGTAGAAGCAAGTACATCGAATTCCGAGAAAATCGTTTCAGAGATAGCTATAGCTCCCATATATAGATATCATCCGATTTAGTGTTTATGTATCCCACATTCGTAATTTGCACCCCACAAGCATGGTGTTTGGTATCGGATATCAGGTACATCCCAGAAATACATCTGCCAAATTTTATCAAGATCTGTTCAGATTTTGATATAGCTCCCATATAACTTTTACCGATTTCGGACTAATTCTGCATCAAATGGCTAATATCTGTCAAAAAGTCCTGAGTTTTGGTACATTCGACCGAATTCAGTCTAGAAGCAAGTACATCAAATTTCATAAAAATCGGTTCAGATGTGGCTATAGCTCTCATATATATGTTTTGTCCGATTTGGTGTTTAAATGCCCCACATTCGTTAATGCACACCACCAGAATGATGTTTGGTATCAGATATTTTTTAGAGCTCGAAAATACCTTTTTATCGAGATCGGCTCAGATTTTGATATAGCTGCCATATATATCCTTAATCCGATTTCGGGTTTATTGTGCAAATAATGGCTAATATCAGCCCAAATGGAGTGAATTTCCGGACGTACATTTCCATGTTGTGAAACTCGGCTCCGATACATATTTTTTTAATATTATCCTTCTCGAAGTGATATCATGCCCCCTATGGCAATGTTTTTTGGTATGATAGATAGTGTGGGGTATCATATAGTCGGCCCCGCCCAACTTTTGACTTTTCCTTACAGGTTTTTACATGTATTCGGCTAGAGTCCATCCGAAGTTTACCCAAAAAATAAATGGATGTTAAAATGATACGAAGGGGTTAAGAAAGAAAAATCACTGGCAGCTGAGAACTGAGGGCACTTTCTAACTAAGAGTAGACTGAGGGACGCCTAGAGAAATTTACGTCTTCTCTAGACATATCGACTTTCATTATTGGAAGACAGAATTGTCTGTCTAATATCTTTTCTTCGATTGGCAATAAATTTTTTCGGCTTAAACCGTTTTCTGTTTTTGTTAATAGTCCGGATTTTTATTTTTTAATTTTTTTTTCTTTTAATTAATAACATATTTAATTAATAACATAAAAACATGTTAGTGACGGAAAATCATTTTTAATGAGATGATCTTATTTTAACACGCCTTTGAAACTCGAAATCAAAGGTCATTCTCACACATAGCTTAAACTATGCAGCTCATTATGAAAAGGCGATAAAAAACCGAAAACTAGGTGGGTGTGGGAACAATATTTTAATTTTTTAACAGATTTTAGGTCTACAAGCCATCACACCACATCTTCAAGGTATAAACATGAGTTAGATTTGATTTGTTATGGAATTCCCAATCAAAATAAAAATAGATTTGAAATAAATTTAACTTGCGGTCCATGTTTCTCTTTTTCGGCATACCAATTCACATGCACACAGATGGAAAAAGTGATAACATATTTAAAAATAAATTATTTCGTAATTTTGTATTTTTTTTTTATTCGGATTTTGATTTCGGATGTAAAGAAAAATAAAAAAAAACTGAATACTAATTAAGATATGAATTTATTTTAAATCAGATTTAATTTTGGTTTATTATTTGTTTCGCCGGCAATTCGAAATCGTAAAAAAACCCAGTTTTTGTGGCCAGCAGCCACATATTGATGTGAATATTTTGATGGTATCATATATCGATTAATTTCATACATACCTATATACATACATACATACATATGTACAAATATACATGTGTATATCAAAAGTTGGATAATAACATTTCCTTAAGGGTATGCGAAGCCATTTCGTGGGGTGGTTATTATGCATTACTTGTTTATATGCCATATATTTCGATTCCCCTTTGCCACGACGTCTAATCGAACAATTTCGTGCAGAGTATTTCTTCCTTTGGGGCCATGCATCTGAAATAAGATTCGGTGGGGTAAATTGGTTCCAATTCGAAAATCTTATAAAAGTGTTACCAAAAAGTGTACGACAAGGTGGTTTATTGGTAAATAAGTATTAAAACGTACGAAAAAGTACTAACAAGTAAAAAAGCGGTAAGTTCGGGAGGGTACTCAACCCCCACCATTCAGAACAAATTTGAAAATTAAAAATTAAAAAAAGCTATAAGTTCGACCGGGCCGAACATTGAATACCCTCCACCATTTGATACAAATTTAACAATTTTCAAAAAATAAAATCCGTTAAAAATTATGTTAAAATCTTAAGAGTACCGAGTGCTTATACGACGACGTGGGCCTGCATAGGCATATTTTGTCATAAGTTATTACAATAATTTAAATGTGAAACTTGAAGAAAAATCTGTTTATAATGTAGTTATAATCATTAAAATACCGAATATGGGGAGGGGTACCGTTATATGTGGGCTATTCGTGGACCTGCACAGACAATTTTCTGGCATGGGCTGAAGTATCCCTTACGAACTTCACATGCGAAATTTGAAACAATCCCGATAAATAATGTCGCTAAAATCATCAAAATACCGAATATCGGGGGGTACGGTATATGGGGCTATATGAAGATGTGGACCTGCACAGAAAATTTTCTGTCTTAGGCCGTAGTATCCATTACGAACTTCAAATACCAAATTTGGAACGATTTCGCTAAATAATGTCGCTTAAATCATCAAAATACCGAAAATCGGGGAGTACCCTTATATGGGGGCTATACGAAGACGTGGACCTACATGGCCCATTTTTTGACTTAGTATTTAGTATCCATTACGAACTTCAAATACCAAATTTGAAACGATTCCGGTAAAGAATGTCGCTAAAATCATCAAAATACCGAATATCGGCGGGTACCCTTATATGGGGGCTATACGAAGACGTGGGCCTGCAAAAGACAATTTTCAACGACAGGCTGTAGTACCCATTACGAACTTCAAATACGAAATTTGAAACAATTCCGATTAATAATGTCGCTAAAATCATCAAAACACCAAAAATAGGGAGGTACCGTTAGATGGGGGCTATAAAAAGACGTGAACCTGCACAGACAATTTTCTGTCTTAGGCTGTAGTATCCATTACGAACTTCAAATACCAATTTTGAAACAATTCCGGTAAATAATGTCGCTAAAATCATCAAAATACCGAATATCGGGAGGTACCGTTATATGGGGGCTATACCATAACGTGGACCTACATGGCCCATTTTCAAAACCAAAAGTCCTGCAGACCTAACACAAATTTGAGTAAAATTTTATCAATCTACTCCAAATCGTTCGGAGGCTAGAGTAATTTCCACAGACGGACAGACGGACGGACATCGCTAAATCGACCTAGAATTTTATGCTGATCAAGAATACATATACTTTGTGGGGTCTAAAATTTATATTTCGAGATGTTACAAAGGGAATGACAAACCTAATGTGCCCTCCCTCCATACTATGGTGGAGGGTATAAAAACGAAGCATTAAATAAGGTCTGGTGTTTTTAAATGTGTACCAAAAAGGTACTAAATATTATACTGGGAGAGCTAGAACTCTTATATTTTATACTAGCATGTGTCCGCTACTTCGTCAGCGAAAAGTCCACCTTAAAATTTCAGTTCGTGTTAAGCCTTTTTATGCCCTTCATATGTCATACATAGTATCGAAATAATAATTATAGACCTAACAAAGTATATGTACGGAGTGAGATGAAAAAAACTGCAACCAACTTCAGACTGCTGTCATTTCTAAGCCACTCGTCCGACAGCTGTTAAAATTATTCAAGTGACAGCTCTTGATAATTTTTACAAGCGTACAAAAGCATTTTGATGAGAATTTTCCACAAAAAAACTTATTCGTGATGGAATTCAAGCGTGATAGTGTGATTTCTTTATATTTGGCTGGAAAACCACAAGTGGCTATCGTTAGAGCACTGCAGCATTTAAATGTGAATAAATCTTTTGTGTCTCGTAACATCGCTCGTTACCGTGATACTGGTAGCGTAGCCCGACGTCAAGGAAATGGACGGAAGAAAACAGCAACATCAGCAGAAATGGTTCGAAAAGTAAAGAAGCGACTTGATCGAAATCCGCGTCGCAGAGGTCGAAAAATGGCCAATATTCCATTCGGCAAATATTGAAAAATGAGCCCGGGGTGAAGCCATGGAAATTCCAAAAAGTGCAAGAACTTACACCGCAACAGAAAGAAAATAGACTCAAATGAGCTAAAGAGTTGCTTCGCTTGGCCGAAGGTGGTGAACTGCCGACTTTGGTTTTCTCCGATGAGAAAACATTCGTTGCCCAGCAGTTTGTAAACAAACAAAATGATCGTGTTTACTTGCCAAAGAGGTCAGCTGAAAATGTGCACCTACGGTTGGCTGCGAGAATTCAAGCGCCAGCCATGGTGATGGTGTGGGCCGCCATAACAGCCAATGGTCGCTCTCCGCTCGTATTAATCGACCGTGGCATCAGAATAAATGCCGAATATTATCGCGAAAATATTCTGGAGGGTGTATTAAAGCCTTGGGCACGCAAACATTTTGGCCGCAGACCTTGGATATTCCAACAGGACTCAGCAGCATCGCACTTAGCACGCGCCACCCAAGAATATTTACAAAATGAGGTTCCTCGCTTCATTTCCAGCGCATAATGGCCACCAAAATCTCCGGAAACCAATCCGTTGGACTATTGTGTCTGCAGTATTTTGGAAAGCAAGGTTGGCACTAAAAAATACCAAAGTGTCGATCACCTCAAGCAAGTGCTTCGCCGGGAATTGGCCAAAATATCGCAGAGCAACATTCGGGCTATTTCATTGGCCTTAATTCTTGCCAGAGGTGACCAATTCGAACAAATCTAAACTTATTCTAAAATTTGATGCTATTTCCGACATTTTTTGCTTTCATTTAATAAATCCCCATATTCGGCATTTTGATGATTTTAGCCACATTTTTCAATGGAATTATCAGAAAATCCACACAAGAAGTTCCTTCTGAGTACTTTACCCTCTGGAGGAGAATCGACTTCAGATACCTAGAGTGACCTTAACTTCCTATTTCAGAATTTCACCTCTTTAATTTCCAACATTCCAAAGTTTAGTACCATTTAGTACAATTATAGTATGTATATCCAACACAAGCTCATTCTTTCAACCTCAGACACCAATAGTGACATCCATATAAAATTTCGGGATTTCACCTCAATTCCTTCGCCCAATACCAAATTGAGTAAATTTTAGTACTTTTCATACAATTTTAGTACACATTTCCAAAAACACCTCCATATCTCAAAGTCCAGATACCAAAAGTGAACTTAATATCAGACACCAATAGTGACATCCATTTCCACTTTCAGGATTTTAGCTCTATTCCTTCACCAAATACCAAAAATAGTACTTTTAAGTACTTTTCGTACAATTGTAGTACACATTTCCAAAAACACCTCTATATCACAATTTCAGATACAAACAGAGATCTCAATATCGAATTCCGAGATTCCAGTTCTATCCCTTCACCCAATTTACCTAATTTAGGACATTTTAGTACTTTTCGAACAATTATAGCACAAATGTCCAAAATCGCCACCATACCTCATTTCCAGATACCAAGAGTGACCTTAATATCATATTTCAGGATTTCAGCTCTTTTTAATTTTCCCCATTTCCAAAATTACTACCATTTAGTACAATTAAAGTACGTATATCCAAAACTATCTCATATTAGACGCCAATATAGACGGTCATTAAAATTTCAGAGATCTCAATATTCAATTTGAGGTTTCCAGCCTCATTACTTCACCCAATACTAAATTTAGTACCAATTAGTACATTTTGAACAAATATAGTAAACATTTCCGAAACCAACCAACCATATCTTAACCACAGACACCAATAGTGATATTAATATCAAATTTCGGGATTTCGGGTAACAAAAAGGTTTATATTGGGAACTTATGTGAATTGGATTATACCAACTATGAACCAAGTAACATTGCTGTAGTACTTGATAAGATTTCGATAAGGAATATATAAAACAAGTAAAAAAGCTGTAAGTTCGGACGGGCCGAACTTTGAATAACCTCCACCATTTGGAACGAATTTTTGTCATAAGCCATTACAATATTCAAATGCGAAACTTGAAAAAAAAATCGGTGAATAATGTAGCTAAAATCATCAATATAGGGAGATACTGGTATATGGGGCCTATACAAAGACCTGGACCTGCATAGACCATTTTCTGTCTTAGAATGTAGTATTCATTACGAACTTCAAATACCAAATTTGAAACAATTCCAGTGAATAATGTCGCTAAAATAATCAAATTACCAAATATCGGGAGGTACCGTTCTATGGGGGCTATACAAAAACGTGGACCTACATGGACCAAAAGTCCTGCATACATAATATACATTTGAGTAAAATGTTATCAATCTACTTCATTTCGTTCGGAAGCTAGAGTGATTTCCACAGACGGATCGAGGGACGGATATCGCTAAATCGACTAAGAATTTTATGCTGATCAAGAATATATACTTTATATAGTTTGTGGAGTGTTACAAACGGAATGACAAACTTAATATACCCTCCATGCTATGGTGGGGGATATAAACATATTTATTGCAGCAATAGATATACTGCACCGAGTTTCACCAAATGGTAAATTTCGGTTGAATATGAAAAAATCTATTCAAGATGGGCTGATATTACATATATGGGGAGCAATATCCGTAAAATCGGATGAAGATGTATATCGAAGCTGTATAAAAATCTGAACCAATCTCGATAAAATTTGGCAGAGGTATTTTCAGGCAGTATCTACGCATGTGAGGGACTTTAACACCAAACAGATAAAACATATATTTAGGAGCTATTGCTATATTTGAACCGATTTTATGAAGCACTTGCTTTTAGGCCGAAGTCCATCGGAAGTGTCAAAATTCGGTCCATTTGGTCTGATATTAGCTATTATTTG